CTGGTGGTTTCGACTGCTGGCCTTGAGGCTAGCAGTCCAACACTATCCCACCAGGACTCCTTTACGCCACAGGGGCTAGTTCAGAGCTGCTAGAACTGGCTAGCTCATTAACTAGGTTAATTACTCGGATGGCGATTTGGCTGGACAACCATCAATGTTGGATACCCTCAGAGTACGATTGCTGTCAGCCAATATTTCATATTAAAAACCCCTCCAAAACCCAATTGAGGCAACTGATAATAAAAGTCTGGGCTTTTGGGAGCCACCTGCTTTTCATGTTCAACCACTCCTTTCCCATGCCAAGTGCAACAGCAATACAAAAGGTCAGATTTACTTGCTTAAAAGAAATTGCCAAAAAATAATTTTTCTCTATGCAAAAACTACGTGAGGCACTTAAAGGAAAATGGAAGGCAGACCACCCACAAATAAAAAGTAAATGACTACCATTCAGTAGTTGAGCAAAACAGCAAGGAATATTTGCTTGGGAAGACAGATGTTCTTGAGCCCAAAATAATACAGTGATTTATACTTTGCTGCTCAGGTTCACACAAGTACTTCCCTAGAATCTGTGGCGAACACGGGAAAATCGTACACAAATATAGGCCACCGACAAAAAAGGAAAGGAAGCACCTACAATGGCAACCTCTCTCTACTTCTCACCATCTCACCTATCCCCATTGGCTATATAACCCACAACCACGGCTGGCAAGCTGATTCCAACCCACCCAGAGCGACCCTGCAGGCAGGAGAGAACTGCTCCCTAGGCTTCTCAGACTGTAAATCTTTATGGGGGCAGTTTCACTTTTCTGCTGAGTAGCTGGTAGCTGCAATTACCAAGCTTGTAGACACTAGCCCAAAGCTTAACTCAAGGTGCCAGCAGGACTCCTTGTTCACTATACAGCTCTCTACGATATCATATAAGAATCAACAAGATGCCAATTACAATACTATCACGTTAGGAATCGCTGAGTGGAGCAGGTGGTCAAGAGCTTAGTTGGCAGTGTGAATCTACCCAAAAGTGACCACAAAGCCACAACCTTGAAAACTCTGTGGAGCACAGTACTACTGTGAAACTCATGGGGTTACCATAATTCAGAAATGATTTGATGACAATTTTCTTTTTTATCCTGCTTTGCCCTCACACTCAAGTGAGTCTCTGCAACAGCATCCTTTAGAAACGTATTAAGAGAAACCAATATGGAGGCCGCTGTGGGGAGGGAGACGGGGCCTGTTCTAGCCTGTGAATGGGCATGCTCATCTTGCGATAACTCACTGTGCTCTAGCCTTGTAGGTGAGTACTTTCAGGATGTTGCAATGCAATTTAAAAATAATTCATAATTGCTGAGTGTCAGGGGAGGAGCTCTGGTGGTGTAGTGGTTACATATTGGGCCGTTAACCGCAAGGTCTGAATGCTGACACCACCAGCTGCTCCTTGGGAGAAAGACGGGGCTTTCTACTCCACTCCTGCAATGAAACTACAGTCTCAGAAACTCATAGGGGTAGTTCTAACCAGTCCTAGAGGGTCGCTATGAGTCGTCGACAGTGAACAGTGAATATGGGTGGGAAAGACAATTCTAAAGAAAATCATTTGTACATTTTTATGACATATTATCCACATCCTAGTACACCAAATAAAAAAATTCCCAATAATTTTCTCATATACTCATTACAATTCTCTAACACTGCTAAGTAGCCTTGTTTTCATTTTATAGGTGAAGTACCAAGTCATACAGTTTAAAATTACAGCCAGGGTTTGAATAAAGCACTGTTGCTTGAAATTCCTTAATTTTCCTTTGTATACCCTAAATACACAAATCCTATGTGCTTGCAAGCATGGGAAACATACTATTTTTACATTTACCCTTATGAGTCTAATGGCTGCATAAAATGTGTTGATGTGCCATGATTTAATGAACCATTCTCCTAGGGTAGTGGTTATCAACCTTCCTAATGCTGTGACCCTTTAATACAGTCCCTCATGTTGTGGTGACCCCCCAACCATCAAATTATTTTCAATGCTACTTCATAACCATAATTTTGCTACTGTTATGAATCGAGCAACCCCTGTGAAAGGGTCGTTCGACCCCCAAAGGGGTCGCAACCCACAGGTTGAGAACTGCTGCCCTAGAGCCAGATCTCTGGACCAGTCATTATAAATTACGTTATTACTAATTACAGTACATTTAAAATTACAGCATCATTAATTCTGCAGAGAACATCCGATGGCTGGATTACTACTAACTTGTTAGCCCCCAAAAGAAGACCCCCAAGTAGATCAACAGGAACTGTCAATAGCTGCCATTGCCCACCCACCCCAGGTACTTTAATTAGAAATTAAAAACAAACCAGCTCTCCACTAGCCCCTTACAGGTTTACTTGCACTGTTTCCCGGCTGACACTGATCTCATTGGCCTGGATTTTCCAATCATTCATAATTTCTTGATCATTAATATTTTCAAAGCTTGATCTCTTAAGTACCACCTTTTAAAAAAGCTTATAAACGCATTCTGAGAACTAACTTCCTCATCCATACTCCTCTGAATGTTTTCCTCCGTTACAGTTAATTTTATATCTGGCTTCGTATTAATTGCCCCACCACTGTTTCTCCTACTAGACAGTGAGCTCTTGAAGACACCACTCATGTCTTGGCAATACTCCTTAAAAACATAGGCCCAACTACTGAATAGTGATCCACAGGGAAGAAATCCACTTACAGACTGATGAAAAAAGTAAAAAGCAGACCCTCTTGGCTCCCAATGCTTGTGGTCTGTCCTCCCCCCAACCCCTCATCCTGGGCGAGTCCTTAATCCTTCTAGGCTTCAGTTTACTTCCTGGGAAAACTACAAGGCTACTACTTTGGGGACATGATTTTCACACAGGCTAAGTGAAAGGCCAAGAAAAAGTATGGACAACATAATAGGTGTCGCTTAGCAAACCATTTCCAAGGTACAACCTATGTATTGTTCTTGCCACATCCATTCTCTCTGCCTCTAAAGCATTTTCTGCACGGGACACAGTGAATTTTATTCACTGTGGTTGCGGCTGCGACTCCTCTGGCGCCACTCGATGCTCCTACGGTATCAACATCTCCCTTATTCTCTGCGTGTCATGCATTGAACCTGGACTCAGAAGCTCCAAAGAAGCGTCATCGAATCCCCCAAGTCGGGCCACGTTTCCCCAGCAACCTATCCTTCCATGTGGCGCCTGGTGCTCTGGTCATTGTGCTCTTGTCATTGAAGCAACCGCCGGATGGGGCAGAAAAGCAAACTCCTGGAAGGCGGGGAGAAGTACCTTGTTCCCCACGCCCGATGCCAGCTGCTACCGGGCCTGGCAGCACCAGGTAGGCGCTCCCGGAGTCGCTGCGCCAGCTAGGAATGACAGGACTCGTGGGGGCCCTCCCACAACGGGCAACGCTTTCCTGGAATGGGCGACGGCCATGCCCAAAGACACAGTTCCAGGCGAGTGGAGACCGGCGTAGCTTTCCCCCGGGATCCCTCCCCGGGCTACGGCA